ACGACTATCATATATAATCAAACGAATATGAACCATACAAGTAAGACATAATACGAAATAACCACGTAGTCAGTGCCCATAATATGAAATAACCACATAGTCTTTCCTATACATCGTAAACGAAACTCTTGAAGTACTCCCAATCAGTTTGAAATCGTCCAAGGCCCAATCCTAAGTCATCATTGTTGATGACCAAACACAGTTCACATAATGATAGACTAATGAATTTCAGTGATAGTATTGCGATAAAACTATCGGAATAATCATGTGTCAATTTGCATAACTATAAAGGATTGAGGATATGCGCATTTTGAAGTTCAGTTGGAAGAGTTAAAAGTAATGCAAAAATTACCCCTTTGACGAAAATTACTTTTGATACGCATCCTAATGCCGTAAAGGTAATTTTCTCATTACTTTTAACCCTTTCAATTGAATTTGCATAGCTCCAATATCGTCTGACCAGCCAATAGATGGTGAAGTGGCAATACGTCCACAGCAAATAACGCGTCATCTCCCTGGAAGAGAACTAATCGATCCGATATTGCACTCGTCTTCAATTTATAGCATCATTGATTGCTGCTGGATTATGGTTTTATCAACGCTTGCTTGAGGTGTTGCGGTAAATCGTACTATTCATTTCGTCATAAGCATCCTGCTCATAGTGTTGTACTCATAAATGAATAATTCCTCAACTCGAGAGTGGTTATAGCTGCCTTAAGTGTTTTTTTTTCCAAACACTATCTATTCATTTAATTTCCTGGCCCACTCAGATCCATTGATAAATTTAGCCGCCGGTCGTGTGATTGACGTATTAATAAAAGCACATTTCCCATTGATTTGAATTAAAGCTTAAGCCAAGGATTAGATTTGTGAAGTTTTGTTCATTGTGAGAGTTACCTTGTACTTAGAACTGAACGTAAACTTAATGAAAGCTCAAGCCTAAACTTGAGCCTGACGGAAATCCCAGATCCTTGTGTTAGGCGGAGATACATCTGAACCCCTGCTATAGAATTAATATCTGTACTTATTGATTAATATCTAATTGTTGACTGACTCAATATTTCTGATCTGTGGTCACTTATTTGAGTGTTTCAAGTGATCTCATTTCAGCACTTTTGAATTTCAACCTTTGATTTGCCTTCGCTGAACTGTTTCTTTAACAATTATTTTGTGAATATTTCGAGATTATTAACGTGTGATTCGATTCTTTCAAGGAACATTGTACTATCAGCTTAATTGGCATATTTCATACAATGCGATTTCATTGCATTTCATGTGTACTTGATAATCATTATAGTGCATTGTACAAAATGATAACTGATTAATGTAATCGATAAGATGATAGTAACTATGAATGTTCAGATACAAATGACTTCAACATCATCCATTGGATCGGCTTTAGCCTCAGGTGATGCAGTCGCACGTACGGCGATGAGTGAGTTGGATGAATGGATTGAACAACTGTATCGTTGCGAACAGCTAACTGAGACTCAAGTAAAAACTCTGTGTGATAAGGTGATTGATAACAATGTGCTTATCTATTCATTTTTTTGTTAAAGTGATTATTGTTGTGATAGTATTGATGCTCTTATCATACTCGTTTATGTTCTCAAATGAACAGTATGATTTGGATTGCAGGCGAAAGAGATTCTCCAAAAAGAATCGAACGTTCAAGAGGTGAAATGCCCTGTAACGGTTTGCGGCGATGTGCACGGTCAATTTCACGATCTGTTGGAATTGTTCAAAATGGGTGGCAAAGCACCAGATACGAACTACTTATTTATGGGTGATTACGTCGATAGGGGTTATCATTCGGTGGAAACTGTCACACTTCTAGTCTGTCTTAAGGTATTTTTAAAAGTCTTTTGCTTTTGTTTTTTTTTTTTTTTTTNTTTTTTTTGGGGGGGGGGGATTAGTATTCGAAACTTATACGCACGTATGTTATGGCAATAATTCGAATTATTATCCTAGTGATTCATCTAATACCTCTGTATATCATTGTTATTTGATAAGGAGTATAGCTTTTCGGTCATTCGTCATGATCATTGATATGATGACTGATATTATTAATGAATGCGAAGTTTCAACTGTAAAAGTTTTGATGATATTGTCTGTGCGTTCGTTCATGAATGAGTAGTAAAAGGTTAATATTGGTCGGGAATTTAGGTGCGATACAAAGAGCGCATAACAATTCTTCGTGGAAATCACGAATCCCGTCAAATCACACAGGTATTATTTTTCAGTAGAAAACTGTGCTTTTTTACAACAATCAAACGTGGTGAAAACAGTTTGGGAGAGGTGCAAAATGTGGCGTTTGTTGTCGATTTTGAAAGAGGCAAATGTGATTTCAGGTTTACGGTTTTTACGATGAGTGTTTGCGTAAATATGGCAATTCGAATGTATGGAAATATTTCACAGATTTGTTTGACTATTTGCCATTAACAGCACTGGTTGACGGACAAATCTTTTGTTTGCACGGTGGTCTATCCCCATCAATCGACAGTTTAGATCATGTTCGATCGTTGGATAGATTGCAGGAAGTACCACATGAAGGTTGTTCGCTTCTTCAGTTGTTCTGTTATTCTCTGTTGATTGAAAATTTATTTGAATGTTTGCATTTTTTGAAATTTCATTCGAAACGAACAGTGTTTAAGTGCGACAGTTTATTTTTTGTAGTGAAATATTCTGTAATGTACACGTGCTGATTGATGNAGAGATATTATTATTGTTATAGTGTGATGAGTTTATAGGACCAATGTGTGATTTACTGTGGTCAGATCCAGACGATCGTGCCGGTTGGGGCATATCGCCGAGAGGTGCTGGTTACACGTTTGGACAGGACATTTCAGAGACGTTCAATCACTCAAATGGTTTAACCTTAATCTCCAGAGCACATCAACTTGTTATGGAGGTTCAGTTTATTTTATGATGATTGTTCTAGCGGTTTTTCTGCATTCATTAGCATTACCTTGTCGTCCGATAATTGTGACTGTATCAAATAGTAATGATTCGATTCGTGATCGAATACTGCCAATGACTTTATTCCGGCGGAGTTATCAGCTTCGATGTTTGAGAAGTGATGACGATGAATTGTTAAGAGTTATGTATTTTAGGGTTATAATTGGAGTCATGAACGTAATGTGGTAACCGTTTTCTCGGCACCGAACTATTGTTATCGCTGTGCGAATCAGGCAGCGATGGTTGAATTAGACGACGAATTGAGATATTCTTTCCTGCAATTCGATCCTGCACCAAGACGTGCCGAGCCGAACGTTACCAGGCAGACGCCTGATTATTTCCTTTGAGTTTTTCCTTGAATGTATGAATGAAATTTCGTTTTATGCTAGATTATTATTTCATCATTGGAGGTTTGGTATGCTGGGAATTCAGCTTTATAGAATG